CCCTCACGCCCCAGCGTCTGCCTCGTGCCGCGGCGACACGTCCACGTCCATCTCTATAAGCCCGTACGACTTGCGGCGACCCTCACGCCCCAGTGTCTGTCCCGTGCCGCGCCACACGTCCACGTCCCTCCCACCTGAGACCCGTACGACTTCCGGCGACCCTCAAGCCCCAGTGTCTGTCCCGTGCCGCGCCACACGTCCGCGTCCCTCCCACCTGAGACCCGTACGACTTGCGGCGACCCTCACGCCCCAGTGTCTGTCCCGTGCCGCGCCACACGTCCACGTCCCTCCCACCTGAGACCCGCACGACTTGCGGCGACCCTCACGCCCCAGTGTCTGTCCCGTACCGCGCCACACGTCCACGTCCCTCCCACCTAAGACCCGTGCGACTTGCGGCGACCCTCACGCCCCAGCGTCTGTCCCGTGCCGCGCGACACGTCCACATTCCTCCCCATCCGAGACCCGTAGGACTTGCGGCGATCCTCACGCCCCATCTGATGTACGCACGCCGGAATCAACCGGCCAGCGTATCCCGATCTTGAGACAAACGCATCCGAAAGACCCGCGCCAACAATCACCGTCGACGACCCTGAAGTGTGGCCAGGTACCATTTCTACAAGAGCACTTCAATCCAGTACTATCAAGTTCGGGTACAGTTCAGACCACTAGTTGCGCTGCGCGCGGCTGAGCCGCGGTCCCGCTGCGGTCCAGCGGTCCAGCTGACCTGGCGTCGACCTCGATGGAGACGCGGCCAGGCACAATCTTGAGGATCTCCTTCCCGAACAGCACGAACACGCGGTCCATAGTGGCCGACACCCGCTCCGCATCCGTCCTGAAACGAGACGTCTGCTGTTGGAGAGAACTGAAGCGGCCCGACGCACGCATGCAACGCACGCACGCACACGCAATGGCGACGAGACGCTCAAAAGGATACATCAGCCTGTGGCAAGGAAGGATACAATACAGTTATTTAAATAACGCCCAATTCCTTCACCCTCTTTAGATGTAAAATGGATGCCGTTCACCTTATGTACCCATGAACCCGGTGTCCGGCCAAAAACGCGCACAAGACGCGGCCAAAGACACACGAAGCATCTGAATCATCAAATGCTTCGTGAGTGTGCCGGCAGCTACACGAACAGTTAAGATGCTAATTGTAAGGGTGATAATGATAATGGCGCAGCAACTACCGAGACCGGCAATGGCTTTACATGGCGAATAACGGCAATGAACAAAACCGGGAATGACTTTCACGGCGAATACAAGAGCATGTTGCCTGTTTAACGGGTTAACTGGGTCGCGCCAAGCCCGCCGGCATTCCGCGCGCACAACGAAGCGTGTCGTATAGGATCATACATTGGGCGCGGCAGTGATCGACAGTGTAGAGCACGAGCTAGCTGCGGAGAGCCGGTGCAGCACGGCGTGAGCGCCACGTCCCGCGGCGGCCGGCTGCAGCGAGGCCGGCGGGACGACCGAGCCCCCCCCCCCCCCTCTGCCGTCTCCGCGGGCACCTCGGCGAGGCCGGGGACGACGCGGTGAAGCCCCGCCATGACGCGGCGCGGGAAACCCTGCGTGTCGCATGCACGCACGCATACCGCACGCATGCCGCACGCATGCGGGATGCATGCGGGAAACCGAACATGCCTGGCGAGGCATAACCCCACCAGGCCCCAGCTCCGCAGACGTCTCTACGCTTATGCGCACACCACCGGCACTACCGCCCCGGGCCCAGGCGCCGTTCCAACGTCGGGGGTGCCCGTCGGATGCGGACGGTCTGGCCGGACCTGGCCGCGTCCGCTCCGGACCGGTATCCTCACTACCTAACGCCCGTAAACCGCGCCAGGCCGGGGCGCCGGGGACGCTGCAGACGCGACGTGCACGGACACGGCGCGGTCATGGGCCGCTCCTGCAGCCGCTCTGGGGAATCTACAGACGGCAGGGAACAGGGGCTCGGGCTGACCTGGCGGCGTGCACGGACACGGCGCGGTCATGGGCCGCTCCTGCAGCCGCTCTGAGGACTGTACAGACGGCAGGGAACAGGGGTTCGAGCTGACCAGGCGGCGTGCACGGACACGGCGCGGTCATGGGCCGCTCCTGCAGCCGCTCTGGGGAATCTACAGACGGCAGGGAACAGGGGCTCGGGCTGACCAGGCGGCGTAACGGCGCCTCAAGCCCCCCATTGTTACAGATACCTCGGTCAGGGTTAGCTGGCCCTGTCCGTGACCACTTAGCGGCAGATATCATCAGCTCATAGAGCACTCATACAATAATTGACTGCATTCCTGGGTACTAAACGATACGGCCCGATCCGGGATTAACAAAGCCTCTTTTGCAGGTTGCAAGCCTCTTCCGGGATCGTGTGAATACCTGCGCCCAACTGGGATTCGTTATTAATTCGCATGATCTTAAAACCACGGCACAATGTTATATCCCGCAACGGATTTCCAGCAGGGTGGTGCGACTTCCGTGGCCGTGGATATTTACCTTCCGCAACCTCTGGCTAGGATTCAACGGCCGACCGAAGGGCCGACGAGTCGGCGGGCCTTCTCCTTCAAGGCGATGAAAAGAGGACGAAATACCACCCATTTAGACTTCACCTTACGTCGGCGTTACACTCGAAATTCAACCCACCCTCCCATACAACGCTGAATCCGTCTTTGCTCCATTTGTACGCGCAGTCTGTCCCCGAGCTGGAAAAGCCGGCAGCCTAAGTTTTTTATCGGCTGAAAAACCGCGCCCGGCGACCCAGCGCAACCGTCCGCGTGTTGCGTGTGGTCCACCGCCGGCGGTTTACGTCCCCGTCCCCAGCCGGCGGGCAAAAACGGCCGCACGGTACCAGACAACCCCGCAGCGGTCGGCTGACCTTCAGCGCTCCAGACGCCCTTGACCGGGCGGCGAGCGGGCCGGGACCGGCGCCACGGAGGCCGGAGGGAGGGGCCGCGCGGCGCGGCGCGTATCAGGCCGGAACGGGGCGTCACGCGCCGCGTCTCCGGCCGGCCCCGGGTCACGCCCGACCGGCCGGGCCCGCACGGCGCCGAGTCACGGTCACCGCCGTCTCGACCGGCCGCCCGGAGCCCACCGCCGCGCCGGAAGAGGCCGGTACACAGACGGCGTCATTGTCCGCAGTCTCCGGTCCGTCGCCGCCGGCCAGAGCTGATCAGCCGCGCCGGGCAGGGGCCGTCGGGTCGGCCGGCCGCGGCCGGTGGGCGCGGCTCCAGACGGGGTCAGCGGCGCGGCGGGATGCCGCCCGTGCAGGTCGATATCGAGCCGCCGCTCCGGTCGGCGGAGGGTCGGCTCACGTTCGGCTGGTGGCCGGCCGTGCCTGACCGGCGCCGGACCACGGACGGGGCGAACCCCGGGTCACCGGCCGCGACCAATCGTCGCGGGCCACCAGCACACAGCCAGCGCGGGTGGAGCGTTGCGCGGGCGCCCTGTACGCGAAACGCCGTGTAGACAACGCGAACGAATAATCTGCGGAGCGTTAAGACACCTGCACCCGGCGGGGAATACCCAGTTGCAGACAGACCCTTCTGCGGTGGGACAGGCCTTCCACCACTACTGCACCGCATGTTCAGTTACCACCCCTGGCCCAGAGCATGAGTCAGTCTGCCGACCACACGGACTTCGCGTTCAATCAGCAGCCAGCGTGATCGTTCAGAGCACAGAGAACAGAGAACAGAACACAGGACCGGCTCCCTGCCACCCGGTCCGTGCCGTGGCGGCGCCACGAGGCGCAGCGCCCCGTCCGGGAGAGGTCGCCGGGTCTAGACAGAGCGCGCCCGCTCGGCCGGGCACCGAGCGACGGACGGCTGCACGAGCAGCTGAGCCCCGGGAGCTGCCGCCGACAAAATGGCCTCCTAATCCGCTCCGGCCCGACCGGCACCGGCAACAGTTGGCTTCGGCCGTCGGGGCCCGTGCGTGGCTGGCGATCCCTCGCAGCCTCAGCCTCAGCCATAATCTGCGGGAGAACGTGTGCGCAGCAGCAGCGAGAACGACTGAATCGATCCAGGCCCGCCGTCCAGCGCAGTCATCTGTGTAAGCTTACAGAGCTGGGTACCGCTTTCACGTTCCTGTGTCAACGCTTGCTTTAAGAGGCGGCGTAGACGCAGGGGGCTAGAGAATTCCCCCTCCCCTCCCCCACCCCGATGGTTGGTCGGCTTCAACAGTCCAATTATCCAGCATTGTTAACTTTATCAGCTTTCCAGACACAGGCTTGCTGGAGAGCATTGCAATCAGTTGGCATTTAACTGTAAACAGATGCATACATGCACATGCAACACATTACTGCATTATGCCGTGCTAAGGCAATAAAGCGCAAGCGCCATTTTGGCCATTTTGGAGTTTTTGCACCTTCAGATTCGTAATAACGGTCCCCATCATCCTCAAAAATATAGTTGTTGTAATCGGCCCCAATCGCCCAGAATTTTGGATTTTCCTTGTCAAAAATAAACGGAAGCTACGGAACAAGTCCAATTTGCAACACAAAAGAAGCGTAAGTGCCGAGCGCGAGCTACGGTGAAAAAACGAAAGTTCTTCTTCTCCGCCGATTCAATTAATAAAAGGCGCGTGTCTGCACTCGGACTTTTTTCTCGCCGCCGTCCAGCCACAGCCTCCCACTTCCCCACCGCCGCCGGGCACTAGCGAAAGCTCGCCGCCGACCAGCCACAGCCTCCAACTTCTCCGCAGTCGTCGGGCACTAGCGGAGAACTCGCCGCCGTCTAACCACAGCCTCCCGCTTTCCTGGCGGCGTTCTGCGCCAGCGCCGCTGGTCCTGCCGATGAATTAGGCTCTAGTTTTAAGCCTTTTTCTTTTCACATCTGCATGCAGCCTGTGTGCATTAGAAGAGATGGATGTACAACATCTGGAACACTCCGACGACAAAACCTTCGCCACCGACATTAGGTAGGCCATGTTATTGGAGGATTGAGGTTCTCAAGAAGACCAACTGGTTGCTCAACCACCACCTGGATTCAGCGTCCCCGGCCCTGCCGAAGACTACCGTCGTGCATAGCCTCAAGCCCGCCGCTACTTACCAGCTGCCAACAGGTTTAGGCGTTACCGAAGGCCTCCCGCCGCTCATCGGTTGCCGCTTTCAGCGCTGTCGGTCTTGCTATGGATACTAATCCACGACAGGATGTCAGTCATGTCAGCCAGCCCAGCGACAGCGCCAGCTAATCGCGAAGATACCGGGGAATGGATAACGCTACGAAGCATTACTCTTGACTCTTATTATGCTCTTATTTATACGCTTCCGGATGGCAACGACGAAGCCATTCCCGTGTGCAAGCCGTTCTTTATGGCAGCAGTGGGCTTGAAGTTTTAACACGACCAGGTCATCCGTAACGCTTTGGCGCTGCTGAAAAGGAGGACCGAAGAGAAAGTGCAACGTCGAAGACCAAGATCGACTCGACTGCCCATCCGAAATCACCATCAAGAGTCATCGGTCGTTGGCGCACATCGGTTTAACCACACACGACACCGAGAGAGACTATCTGTCATCGAATATCACAGCAATGGCATGCAAGACTTCAACTGAAAAGCAAAGACAAATAAGCTTCGAGCGTGTTGAAGGGAGGTAACAGATGATGACTACTTGCTCCCCCCAAACGTGTCAACGAAGAATGTGAGTACTGTTCTTGTCAACTGCACAACGGGAAATCAGTGCATAAAGCCCGAAGAGCTGGCCTCGTGTACGTTGACGGGTGCGACCAGTGTCGGGAGCACACACACACATTTGGCCCGGACCAGAGAGGGTGGAGCTGACTACTGAAGACAGGCGGCCCGCGAGTGGGATGACGACAAACACGTGTGCAGTGCCGACCTAATAAAAGTAAACGTTGATCCTTATCCTTTACCACAAAAACGGTCTTCTTCATCCCCGTTTCGTTACTTGTTACGGAGTCATTTGCTACCCTCGAGAGGACAGGACAAGTAAAAAGGTCGAAGAAGTCGCCTGCAGTCCCTGGCATGTGGCAACAGCAGAATGGATGGAGAGACGTTGCCGTGACGTCCCGTGCGTTTCCCTCAGCGAACAGCGATAAAAAAGCAAAGTGACAATCTTCACGCAGACAAACCGTCAGACGCAAATTCAGGCATAGATTTCAGCCAATGTACTCAAAAACTTCCAAGGCCAAGGAGTCCGACTTTCAGGACCCTCCGGCAAGCAGCAGAGGGATACAGGCATAAGCACGACTGCGGTGTGCCATGTCGACTTCCGCGGTGTTCTAGGATGGTGCATCCGGAAAAAGCTTAACTCGCTAGTCAAGGAGGGTCTGCGCCCCTACCTTCAGGACGGTCGCTGTCTGCAGGTTCGCAAAGGGCAGTGAACATGTCTACCACTAAAAGTCTCGCCTCGAACAACAATGGAGGCGTTCAGCCTCGTGAAAATCACCCCTGACCCACAAGACCGAGAACATGGCACCAGAACGCCTGGCCTCAACACTGTAAAGATCAACAAACTGTGGGAAACCCGCTACCAGTTTCGGAGGAGGAAATGAGGTACGCGCTTCCACTTGCAGACATTCTCTTCTGGGCCGATGGGGAGAATGCTGTCCACGATGCCCAAAAGGAAGTGCAAACACCGCCCAGTTTAAAGTCTGGTCCATGAGATTGCTCTCCCCACGCCCAAGCCTATTGCTACTAGATGTGACAAGTTCAGTGGCATATAATTCGATTATGTTCCATCTACCAATACCTTGATATATCAGAAAATCGAAAAAGCTTTACCCCGAAAAGCTGCTTAAATGCACATTGCGCCTTTTTCATTTGTACGGCAGCATTCACGAACGAACCACGCCGCCATCCCCGCAGTCAAATCCCGCCGCTCTGTCGACCCACAGCTAACGGCTGTTCTTTTGGAAAGCACGGCTGCCGGTGGTTCCACATCGCTGAGGTGACCCGCGGTCTGGTGGCTGTTTCAGGGCACAGTTACACTGAACGTGGCGGCCCGGCACGCCCGGAATGCCGCCGTCCCGGGTCACGTGTCACGGATCGACCCGGCGTGCCGCTGCCGAAGGTGTCACGCCACCGACCGCACTGGCCTCGGGCGGAGACGGGACACAAACACGACAGGAATGCGCTCTGGTGCAAGGGGGACGAGTGAAACCAGGCACCCATACAGCCGCATGGCTGCACGAGCATTCAACGGCCCATCTGGACGCCTCTGCCTTGTTATCCGGGCCTATCAGCCGAGTTTGAGGGCCACTGACATGAGGGACACTGATATGCGTGTCAGATCTGAGTCGCCGGGCAGCTCAGAAGGCGCGTCTCCGCAGCTTGACTTCGCACCGTGATTTTTTTCAGAATAATGCAGCTGCTACGGCCATCATCACGTCCATATCTGACACCGATCAAAGGCGTGGCCAGCCCGGTCGGCTGCCTCCTCCGCGTCTGACCCTGGCCCGTCGGGTCACACATCCGTGGACCTGGCTTAGTCCCCGCCCGTCGGAAGACTCCGCCGCTCTCCTGGAGTGCCCCGGTCCGTGTCTGCACCGCTCCGCTGTCGCGCCAACCCGGGCAGTCATGTGGCACGTGTGGGCTATTATATTCCAGCTGGGGCAGGCAGGTGCCCGAGACGGCCGGGCGTAACGGCGGGCAGGGCGCCGTGAGCGTGGCGCAAGACGGCTCCGACGGGCAGCGAGCGGGCGCGGGGGGGATATTGAGGGAAGAGGGCCGGAGGACAACAGGAAAGAGGCGGTCCGGAAATGGAGAGAGATACAGCAAAAACGAGGGAAACGACTGAAAGAACAATTACAAACCGTGCAGCCCGACAGAAGCACGGGAGATGACGAAAAGCGCGGTGGGGGCTCAAGATAGAGGACTTGGAGGCATTTGGAGGCGGAAACAGAAAGAGAGAGAGGGGAGGGGAGGAGTGACAGGCTATACTATGGTGGTCTCCTACCGCCCGCTCTGGTCAGCCCGCTCCCCCGGTGCCGCGCGGCGCTGGTCAGTCCGCCCCCCCCCGTACCGCGTGGCGCTGGTCAGTCCGCTCCCCCGTACCGCGTGGCGCTGGTCAGCCCGCTCCCCCGTACCGCGCGGCGCTGGTCAGCCCGCTCCCCCGTACCGCGCGGCGCTGGTCAGTTCGCCGGACGGACATGATTCGAGGGCGCCAATCAGCGGCGCGCCAGCCGACGCCGACGTCCGGCCCTATCTGGCCACGTCCGCCGGTCTGCACCGCCGGCCGCCGGAAGCAGCCGACGCCGGCGGCCGGGGTCGGAGGCGGGCCGGCACATGCGGCAACGGTACGCCGAACCTCGCCACACAGACCCGACGCGCGGAGGGGCCGCCGCCTCCCGGGTGATGCACGCAGTGTATGGGTCGGCGCCCCACACGCCGCCCGAGAGCTTGCAGTCGGAAAACGACAATGCCTTCTGCCGCTACTCACTGTCCGGCGTCCTTGCCGTACTCCACCGCCTTCTCGATGAGGTTTTGGTACTGCGGCATGGACGCGGCCGCCAGGATCAGCGACGGGTTCGTTGTCGCGTCCGTCGGTTTATACTTTTTCATTGCTGTAGGACGAAGTGAGAAGACAATGGTGAGCTACAATGTATGGGGACCACATATAAGACTTTTGCCTCCTCCCCTGCTGATGCACTGACCAACTGAAGGGAAGTCGATACCAGCTTTGATGCACCAAATACGATACATGTAACATAGCTTGACACGTATCCACAATTCAGATATCTCATTTTGATTGCTCCATATCCCATGGACTAAAGAAGACCACATACTTGAATTGGCCCTACAGGTATATCATTTGTTACATGGCAGACCAGCAACCAATTTTTCAATTTCCAAACATCAGCTCAGGAAAGGCCAGATGATCAAGGGTCACATCCCACAGAGCCAATTAAAACCTTAGAGATTAAAAGCTCAGAGAATGCTGGGCTTCAGCCCTCAGGCTTTTTCCTTTACAGAATTTCCATGATACTCATCAGCACCATGCATCACTATTAGTGACATGATCTTGAGTTTGAAAGCATTGCCAGCCAAGGTACTGATTGGGTGCTATCACAGGGCAAGCCAGCAATGCACAAATGGCTTGTGGTGGGCCAATATGACAGAGTGGTGACAGGATCAACTTGCCATGGGCTTACAGAGTTGTTCAGGGTGGTGAAGGGATCAACTTGCCATGGGCTTACAGAGTTGTTTAGAGTGGTGATGGGATCAACTTGCCATGGGCTTACAGAGTTGTTTATCTAACCAATTTCACTACATGTTCCTGCCAGTTATGCCAGTGACAATGACATTAATTAGCACATCATGCCAAAAACTAAATGCTACTGACTCACAGGTGCTTATACTGTCATTGATAGGTTCAAGACCTGGATGCTGCCAGCTGACAAGTGCTGCGCCTATCAGCCATGGGTGCCAAATCTAGCAATTTCTGGGCTGGGTTTCATGAGATGCACGCGCACAACTCTTCAGCTCACGAGAAACCTGGCTTGGTGTGAAGGTTTTATTTGTCACCAGGAGGATAGCACCACACACTGAACACATATTCAATGCCTGTGAGATGACAGCATCCCTGTCTTTAATATCACTATGTGACACAGACCTACACAGCCAGGGCATAGGGAGGAAACAGCACACAATACTGATCTTTGTGGTGAAATTAATACATTTGATGCTCATAGGCAAGAAATTTTGCTGAGTGAATCAGAAGCTTGACATTGCTGGAGTGATGCTCAGCACTGAGAATGTGAATGAGAACTGAACAAGTTGAACTTCACATAACTTGTTGTGCAAAACAAGCATTCAAAGTCATATGGATGGTCTGGAAGACTGATCCCTGAGTGGTTGTGTGCCACATCATCTATAGCAATTATATATTTGCACTAAGTTGTGGTTTCTACAATTTAACTGGCAAACAATGCAACAATCTAAGTAACCATAGAACAATTAAACAGCAGAAGTTAGCATGCATCCTTGAGCCTGGGTTAATTATAATTTAACTACTTAAATTCCTACAGATAAATTATCTGCAATACATAGACCAATTGTTTTTTAGCTACCTTATGAACATAAAGGATGTGCCTTAAAAATCAATCTCAGCTTCTGAGACAAGTGCAATCGGCTTCTAATCCTTTAAGTTTGACGGCCCGTTGCAATTCAGAAGTGATACTTGGCTGGACTAGCCTAAAACAAAACAAATAAATAAACGACTACTTCTGACCTTCGAAGTCGCCAGTATCGGCGACGACCACCGTATGCCTCCTTCAGCTGGTCCAACACGCTGGCCATCTTTGCTTTCTTTGACGTGGGTTCACCTCATTCTGCCCTATATATGTTCGTGCCGGCACTTTCGACGTATCGGGAGCCGTGAGGGCGTGACGCTCACTCAAATTGCCGCACGCATTCGCAGGTTTCGCCGCCAAGGTCATTGATATTCACCAAGAGGAATATCAATATACTTTTGTAACTGAAAGACGATGACTCATGTAAATGCAATTATTGAAGAGATTAGTTGTAATTTGTTGCTCTAATAATATTTGATCAAGTTTTGAACCTGCTTGATAAAAAACTATTACAGCATATTCTTAAATCCAATAGTTTGAGTTTGATCTAATAACTCTTGAGCAGTCTGGCAGGAAGCGCAAAGGCGGCCATTTTTGGATCATTTTGTTTGGGAAATGCCGCCTTGCAGCCATCTAAAAAACGTCATACGCCCATACGACCTTGATGCTGGGCGACAAGCTAAGGTTTGTAGGGACATACATAGCGTGGTACAGATTTTCAAGAACACAGACAGAGTTATAAAAGAACAGTACGCATCGCCTTGCAACCATACAGAACCTTATGCGCCCCATACGGCCTTGATTGCAGGACAGCAAAGCAAGGGTCGCAGGTAGCTATGTTGCGTGGTACAAATGTTTAAGAACACAGACAGAAAATGTGGGCTGTGCAGATTATGGTCTGTGTGCAGGCCAGGCATGTGAGGGAAGTTGTGTCACCGTGACTTTCAGTACTGCTTGGAAAAAGGGTAACTTCCCACCCTCATTGTTCTGTTCCAGGAATACTTAAATTGGTGGTCCATAAATTGCATTGGTTGGCTTCACACCTCTCGCAACAAGCAGCCTGTCCATAAGGTAACTAAACTGGACCCGCATGTATGCTGCACAACTTACTGGTTGAGGTACCTGAAGCCCCAATAACATGCCAAGCAAGCCAGCCTCCCTTTGGGGGCATGTAGTGTGGTGTGTGTGTGTGTGTGTGTGCATGCGTGTGTGCGTGCGTGCGACCTGATTCTGTGTAGGAAATAATTGCTATCAGTACATAGGTCTTCATCTTAAGCTAAGAATATTCTGGTCTGCAAATTGGTGAACATCCCATTACAATGTTTTAAAGTGGATGTAATCCTGCCTCAAATACTGTAGTAAACTGTTCAATTTGGGACAGCTCTGATTATTCCTTCTTGCCCCCAAAGGCATGATTTTCCATCATATTTGGTACTTCTCTGAGGTCCATCACCTTTTGCCAGTTTTGTACATTGTTAAACATGTTAGGATGCTCTCAAAAGTCCAATACATTAATTTTTACCCTTACCTTTGATAGTCTTCTCCAAATAGAAACCTGTCATGGTTTACAGACTAATCAGTGATAATGGCTTAGCCTGTGTGCTAAAATGTATTGTGGATGTGGGCAAACTGTCAGTTTATTAGCCCAAATATATGACCATTGTTAATAATCTCCACTCAGGCATTCAACTTTTCTATCTCATGGATGGTATGATGCAGATGTGTGCAGATGGCTGGTACTCACTGTTTACATGCTATGAAATCTGTCATTTTTGCATGCAAAATAAACCTTTGAAATGACTACTTGCAAGCTGGAATGCTATCATCAGCTGAGATAATCATGAAAGGCAATATCTCATGGCATGATTGATGTGATAGAGAAGTGTGGTGCATGCACAGAGAATACATAGCAATGTAGAGTATCTTAGCAGGATAAGTGGCTAGGCTTGCATAACTAGGTAAATTGAGGACATCGGTCCAGGCTGCTGCGTTCAGTTTTTTAGACACATGATTATGTGAGGCCTGTCATCACCCTGCAAAAAACAAAAACAAAATAAAATGATGTGAGTTTTTTTATCCCACAAATTTTGTTTACCAACCCTACCCTGACCTACATGAGCTTCCAACTGGTTCTATCCACAGCTGCGCTAGCAAATGTTGTTATGCCTGCTGCTATGTAGCATTTCTGGCATGCCGATTTAGGACATCAGTGTGCCGCTCCCGTGACCTTGTACTGGGATGCTGAAAAATGGCAGGTCATCCCTACATGCTTGCAACTCTGATCAGTTATATCCTATTGCTTGCTGCATTTCAGCAATGACCCACTGTCCATCCCATAGACTGCACCACTGACGCCCACCTGCCGAGGCCTCCACGAACCATGCAGCAGCGGGAGGCCCGCCTGAAGAGGGAGCTGGCCATGTAGCCAGCGCGCCGCCAGCTGGCGTGTCGTGCTCAGCTGACGGCGATGACGTCCACGCGGCTTGCGGGCCACGCTGACGGGCCCCGAGGTTCTCCGTTCGAGCGCGGCACGTTTGCGCTGGACGTGGTCGTGCCGGAGAGGTGAGGGAGGGTCATCCGGCGGCCCCTGGCACCGCAGCCAGGCCCGGCGGGCGGAGGGCCGCGGGCGTGACGGTCCTGCCCAGCTGCGTAACTGCTGGCTGGAGAGTAGCCGCGCGGTGTGACTGCTGGCGTGATGGGCTAAGGCGCTTGTTCACGCAGTAGGACCAACCAGAACATACACTATGACTTGGACATGGTCACAGCACACAGTCAGGCCTAGCTGGAACATGCAGCAGACCTGGACATGCATACCATAACCCTGACCTGGACATACAGTACTACAGCACAGTGACTAACTGTGACACACAGCATGACCTGAATGTGGGCACACAGTGTGACCTAGACCTGGACCTGGACCACACAGTACACAGCACAGTGCGTTTTGTCCAGCGTGAGCTCGGGTTCGCGCGCCTGCACCAGCTCTCACTTAATAGCACCTGATGGAAGATACACCAGCATCACTGCCTGATCCGCCGCCGGCCTTCGCGCGGATGCGTCGCCAGCGCCCCTTGATGACGTCACTGACCGGTGACGGCGGTGCCCAGGTACCCGTTCGAGCCGCCGCAGATCACGTTCGCGACGCCCCGTGTACCACCCGAACGTGGCCCCGTCGGGCCGGATCTGCCTGGACGCGCTGAAGATGCCGCCGACGGGCGGCTGGCGGCCCAGCCTGCGGCTGGCCACGCTGCTCATGTCCATCCGGCTGCTGCTGGCCGAGCCGAACCCGGACGACCCGCTCATGCCGACGTGGTGAGGACGGCGGCAGGGGCAACAGGCAGCGCGGGGGTGGAGCGTGGGTGTGGGCTCCGGGACCGGGTGGTAATGGTGGGGTGAGGTGGGGTGAGGTAGAGTTTGAGTTGAGTGAGAGTTTGAGTGGTAGGGATGGTCCGTAGATCGCTGCGTGATAGGTAAGGTGGTCTCCCTGGGTGGGATGGTCCTGGGGATGGGGTGAGCTTGCTTTGTCACCATCGCAGGGTGTGATGTGAGATAGTCCCCTGCACCAGGTTTTCAATCCAAAGTTGCCCAAGCCATGCTCTTACAATCTCCTATATCTTCCATGCTCGTATATCTTGACCACTCGGTGCCATGCAAGAACCTAGCATTTGAGAAGTTCTCACTGCAATGAAAAATGCAGGGTTCGACTGATGATGACGATGCTATCTCCATCGGGGTTCTTTAGCGACCTGGCTGTCCAAGCGCTGTCGCGGGACGCTGTGCTTTGCCTTCAGTCGCCTCCTTCGCGACGACGGGCCGACGTATCAGCGTGCTGCCTACTTCAGTGCGGTACTATATATATATATTATATATTATATATATATATATATATACTATTATATATTATATATATATATATATATACACGTGTATATACCATAATAACGTGAATCAATTCTTGCTATATACACATACATACCTGCATACATATATTTTATATATATATATATATATATATAATATATATATATATATATATATATGTATGCATGTATGTATGTGTATATAGCAAGATTGATTCACGTTATTATGGCGTCATAGACGCTTGGGTAATTTTGAAATAGCCTGTACGTCTTCGCGGGCGTGTACTCAGAAACTGGAGGTATTTTAAGTCTTCACAGAAACGGGGTTGTGAACTGCACCAAATGCTCTTCAAGATGGCTATTTCAGCTCTAATCCCTATACAAAGCTGGAACCGCTCCCTTTAGAAGGAAATCAAAAGTTTAAAAACGGACCCTGTTTCACAAATCTGGTGCCCGCTCCAATATATTCAAATGTGGAACATTGCCTTTACGACAGTTTTTGATAAACGAAACCTAAAAAAGCTAGCCAGTCAGTTTTGCTGAGGTGTGCCAATGGTACCATACAGAACTTCCGTATTGCACGACCTCGTATATGTAAACGGATGAAAAATTCCACCTCCACCCTGGTTGGGAGAACGTGCTCCAACCCTGAATCCCGAACTTGAAGTTCACACTCTTCTCCAGCATGTCGGAGTCCGCAGCGCCGTCTCGCGGTGGTGTCAGATGACGTTAGTCTGTCACCCGCAGGCCCAGGAGTACCGGCTCCAGTATGTCGGAGTCCGTAGCGCCGTCTCGCGGTGGTGTCAGATGACGTAGTCTGTCATCCGGCAGGCCCAGGAGTACCGTCTCCATGTGTCGGAGTCCGCAGCGCCGTCTCGCAGGCGGTGTCCGATGACGTTAGTCTGTCACCCGCAGGCCCAGAGAGTACCGGCTTCAGTATGTCGGAGTTCGCAGCGCCGTCTCGCGGCGGTGTCAGAATTACGTTAGTCGTCACCCGGCAGCCAGGAGTACCGGCTTCAGTATGTCGGAGTTCGCAGCCCGTCTCGCGGCGGTGTCAGATGACGTTAGTCTGCATCCCCGGCACACAGCCAGGATACCGGCTCCAGTGTGTCGGAGTTCGCAGCGCCGTCTCGCGGCGGTGTCAGATGACGTTAGTCTGTCAACCGGCAGAGCCCAGGAGTACCGGCTCCGGCGCCAGAGTACGAAACGGAAGGCAGACGAGATGACAGCAAAACATGCCATACCCAAAGGTGAGAGACTTTTGATACCTGCATGCTGCGCAGAGTACCGACGTGGGCTTTAGTCGTTGGAAATTAGTGCAAGAAGCTGTTGGTGGTTTCTTTGCACTGGGAAACAACGTTCGCGAAAAGAGGCGACAAGCGGTGTGATTTTCTTCTTTTCCTTTTGTAGATTTCAGGCGTTATAGCTAGCTCCCACCGTCTTGGAAGTAATATAATGCGATGTAAGACAGTCCAGGAAATGCCAATACATTTTCATAATCAGTCGAGATGCCAAAAATTCATTGCTGTCATCGTTTTTCTGCTCACAATGAAAACAATGAAAATGGAACGCGTATTGTGAAAAAGCTGATATGTGATGAAAAGGGCAAAATGTTTAAACACATGCGTAATAATTCCGGATAGTGCACGATTTCCAAATGTTTGCCAGCCCACTCTGCCAGAGCAAGGTCTCTGAGTCGATGCCGGCATGAACGCTTCCACTTTTGCTTTTCACCAATAAGCATCGTGATACAACGGGGAAGCCCCGGTTGTCTACCGAAGTCTCAGATGTCAGCCAGGTATTGGGAGTCGTTTGTACTGACAGGTCATGTTTCGTGCTCACAGCATTAGGTGTTGCCACTAGACCACTACTACCGCCCTCACCGCGTTTCGGCACGTCGTGTACCGCTGTGCCAAGGATGACGAGAGGTAGTCCGAATGGTCAGGAGAAGCTCTTTCGGGCGGGGTCACCGATGATCACAGTGTCGAGGTCGAGGTCAGGCCCGGCGCTCGCTGCGCTGTCCGTCCCTGACACCGTATCCTGTCGGGCGGGCGGGGTCACGGCCGGACCAAGGCAGGAGACTCGCCCAGGGTTCGTCACGGACGGTCCATCAGGTGGCCACTGAAGTCTCGTAGGGCCGACTGTGGAGCCGGGCAGAGATGTGACGGCCCCAGGCAGCCTGACTGTGGTGCCGCTGTGTCGCCGGGCAGAAGATGTGACGGCCCCAGGTGGCTAGCTGACTGTGGTGCCTCGTGGAGTCGGGCAGAGGTGTGACGGCCCCAGGCAGCCAGCTGACTGTGGTGCTTCTGTGGAGCCGGGTAGAGGTGTGACGGCCCCAGGTGGTTAGCTGACTGTGGTGCCGCTGTGGAGCCGGGCAGAGATGTGACGGCCCAACAACTGGGGCTAGCTGACTGTGGTGCGTCTGTGAGTCGGGGCAGAGAGGTGTGACGGCCCCAGGAGGCCAGCTGACTGTGGGCTTCTCTGTGGAGTCCGGGTAGAGGTGTGACGGCCCCAGGTGGTTAGCTGACTGTGGTGCCTCTTTTGGGTCGGGCAGAGGTGACGGCCCCAGGTGGCTAGCTGACTGTGGTGCCGCTGTGGGAGGTCGGGCAAGGTGTTGACGGCCCCAGGCCAGCAGCTGACTGGTGGTGCCTCGTGGAGTCGGGCAGAAGGTGTGACGGCCCCAGGCAGCAGCGTGACTGTGGTGCCTCTGTGAGACGGTAGAGTGTGACGGCCCAGGTGGCCATCTGACTGTGGTGCCTCTGGAGTCGGGCAGAGATGTGACGGCCCGAGGCCGCCATCTGACTGTGGTGCTCTGTGGAGTCGGGCAGGGATGTGACGGCCCCAGGGTGCTAGCTGACTGTGGTGCCGCTGTGGAGCCGGGCAGAGATGTGACGGCCCAGGCAGCCAGCTGACTGTGGTGCCGCTGTGGAGCGGGCAGAATGTGACGGCCCCTTTGTGGCCGGTGTCGCCGCCGCTGCCACAAGCGGCAGTATGACCGTTCTGGTCCACAGCGGCCGGTATTGCAGCGCAGTAACGCCGTTTTATTTCCAGCCTCACGCTCGTGCTGATGAATCGCTAGGGATAGATTGGTCTGTATAATTGGCCTACCAGCCGCTTATATTTTTATGATGCCGATGCTATTTTGATGCTGGTAGAAATGACTGTGAGGTCCGTCAATACATTTGCTCATCACTTGTTTACAGTGCTACTGGGTAACGCGCCATTGTCATCGCAGGTGCATGAGCATGAGTTGACCTTTTTGCAACGGGAATTTGTCGCTGCTAACTCGTGCTGCGCTTTCAATTTCCTGATTGGCAGTTTGCAAACCCGATAAATTTGTGTTCTCAGTCCTTGAACAAAATCATATTGTAGCGCGTGCAAGTGCTGCTGTGAGCAGTATTGGGCTGCGCCGTTGTCTGGTCGGCGCCCGCCACAACACAGGCTGCTGACCCGTTGTCCCGCTTTCAGGCAGTGCTCGGCTCCATCGAGAACCGAGCACGCTCAGCTGGCGCCGAGCCGCCGTCCGGCCAGCCGGTAAGCGGCTCGTGCGGCGCGCCCAGAGCCCTCAGACGCCCGCTGGAGGACGGCCCTGTCGGCGGGGCGGCGGCGGCCAAGCGGCCGCGCCCCAGCGCCGCCCCGCCGGCGGGACTCTGAGCGTAGCCCGCCCGTGCGGGCCGCCGACGGATGGGACGGCGCGGAGGGCCGAGCAGCGGTGGACGGCCGCAGATGGACGGCGCTCGAGGCCCGTCCGCGTGGGCCGCCGGCGGCGGTGCAGGCAGCTAGCGGCCTGTGTCGGCAGGCGCAGGGAGCGGCCTGAGCGTGCTGCTTCGGAGCGTGTTGTTCAGGTTGTGGGCGTGGATCGGTACCTGTGGCTCAGTCTGGCGGGCTGCGTTTGTTTGGCGTTATTTCCCAATACACGTTGTTTCGAAAGTAGAATGGTGTATTCTTGGAGGCACGCTTGAAAAACGTAAAACGCGACACACGGATGAACAAGACTGATTAAAATACATATAAACTACACGTAACAGCGTATCCTCCGGGTTAAAACAGCGGATATGCTGAGTGGCACCCTCATCTCGCGCCCCCTCTTCCGAATCCTGTAAAACACCAGCCGCTCCCTGGCGCAGTCCGGCGCGACCACCCACGGTTTGAGCGAGCGGCCGAGCCGCGAAGACCGACGTGTCCCGTCCCTGGATCGCTGCACGGCTCACGGGTAGTGAGGCCACGCGGGTCGGCCCGACCGGCGCCCACGGCTCGCTCAGCGTCGGGTACGCGTGCCGCCGCTGGCCGGCGTACTCTGCGTACGGGTAGCAGGCGGCGGGCCGGCGCGGCGCGCTCTCGGCGCCCGTCTGCAGGCGGCAGGGGGCCAGCGGCTCGGCCGGCGGCTGGCGGCGCCCGGCTGCGGCTGGCAGCGACCACTGGCTGCCGTCCGGCTGCGGCAGCGGCTGACCCCAGC